CCCCCCCCCCCCTCCCCTCCCCTCCCCTCGTTTTTGTACGGTAAAAGTGCCATCTGTTGTTGAGTTGGTGCTGTCCATGCACACATCATATGCTTTAGTATATAGGAATATCCAACTGCATATGTCCACTGTAAAAGCGTATTCAGTATTTGAGTTGCAAGAAAATTTGGGTATTAATATACGACTTTTTTTTTCATGGAGTAGACTTTACTGCCTAATAATGTATTGTCTTATTAAACGGATTGGTTTGGTATTCTTAAGCTCGACTCTAGGCATGCAAATGTGATATATTTTAGCTACATCTTGTTTCATTGTCATTGGCTTTGTTTCTGCAGTCAAACAATGGTGTCTATACAGTAGGTGATTTTATGACAGGGAAGGAAGGGTTACATACAGTGAAGCCGACAACAACAGTTGATGAAGGTACTAGATACGTTTATCTTACCTTTATATTGTTTCAAGAGTCCTTGGCTGTATTCATTTCTGACGCTATATATGCAACGTGAACAGCATTGGAGATGCTAGTGGAGCACAGGATCACTGGCTTTCCTGTGATTGATGATGATTGGAACCTGGTATCCCCTTTACACCTGTTCTTCTTTTCTTTTTAAAGTTTTACAGGTTATATGATGCTTGCTTGTTAAATGAGAATTTGAACATTCAAGCATTATCAATATTCAACTGTTTCCTTTCTGGTTTCCTTGGATCATACATCCTTTTTAGGTGAAATTATGTTTTCTTCTTATATTAATATATGAGATTGTTATGCAAACATTATGACCTTTTCCATGGAGAAAAAGGAGCAGAATAGAGCACTAGCAGTTAATTTCAAAGCTTATTGCATTCAACCCATGGCAGAACTTTGTCCTAGAGCCTACGTTAAAATAAATAGAGATGACTATTTTGGAGGGTACCCATGAAACAAACGCACTATAGTGATATGAAAAAACAAGGATTCAGATTGGAGGTGTTCTAAGCTGATATGAAATCAAACAAAAAATTACGCTCAGCCCAACCAGAAGAAGGAAGTAGCTTATATCAATTTCTGGTTAAAAGTTTTAAAAGGATTCCTAAATGTTTCATTAGTTGAAAGGAACTTACTATCACGTTGAACCGTGACCCTGCTCAAGAAGCTTGAGGTACTGAAATCAAGATCTAATTTCATGCCACATAACCTGATGTTGTTGGCAATACTAGAAGTGAAGACTTATGGAAGCAAGAAGATGGACTTCCTTTGCAATATATGGGTGTTATGAGATTTATCTTGGCAGTTTGATGGCATATAATATAACTTATTATATGTATGCTTGAGCTAGATTAGAAATGTATCATCTAGCTTAGTAGCCTTTGCGTCGAGTAATCTTTATCCTTTTGGTTAGCTATGCCCATATCTACCACCTGCAATTTTGCTAAGCTGGTGGGCATGTAAAGTTTGTGCAGTCCAACATCAGTTCTTCTCCCCTTTGGAGGAGAAGATATGATAAGACTTTTTTGATAGAGCCATCTGCAGACAAGAGCTCTGTGATAACTTGCGACTATAAAGGTTGCCACTTGCAACTACAGTTCATGCAAATAGATAGTTTTTGCTCGTTATAACTGTTTGTGCCTCTGAACCTAGATAGTTGCCAATACCCTTTCAGTTGCAAAAGTCTCAGTTGCAATGCAAATCAACTGAAAAACTCAAGTCGCAACTCTAGTTAAAGCGCGTCCTCTCCAAATTTGCGTAGGCTTTAATCGTTTCTGATCATTATTTAGTCATGTTGGGTACTTGGTTTCTGCCATTTTTTAATAGGTTTATTTTTTAATAGTTTTAATAGTTATAACTTTTTTTGATCTGTTTTTGTACTATATCCTTTTCTCTGTCTGTACACTGGAACACAGTTGGCTTAATTCTGCCGCCCCTTGTTCTTCCATGCAGGTTGGCGTGGTCTCAGATTATGATTTACTAGCATTGGACTCCATATCAGGTTTCTTTCACAATTTTTTGTTATTATATTTATAGCTTTCAAGAAAACTAATTTGTTGCATTAATCTCGATATTGTGTTAAAATAATAGTATTTACCATGCATTTCTCTATTAGTGCCAATCTTTTTGCTAAACGCCTAAGAATAAGGTTTAACAACAAAATTTTAGTTTTGATGACATGGGATAATAAAATGTATATTTTTTAAATATTTAAGTAATGGATGTCAGTTTTGGAGTTCAAAAAACTAATTGGTTTTGAACCTCATATTACCAAAGAAACTAATTTAGGGTATAAGTAATGGGGAAATCGGATTTTGCTTTGAACCACATGTGCCCATGGCGTGTTCGCGGAGAATCCGTGTCCGACACGTGTCCGACACTGACACAGCACCCAGAACATTGTGTCCGAGCAACCTAGCTTAAAGCCCTTTGCAGCTTGAGGAATTGACTTTTTTGGGAAGGGAACCTTAGACAACATGGTTCTTGCATAAATCATCATCGTCTTCTTATGAATTGTCTTCTTGTTTCATTTTTAGGTGTTATTTGAGGTTCATTTGCCGTCCATCCTACTTGCCTTGACAACAAAATAATGTCTAGAATATGCAGGCTTGTGCTGCTTTCATTTAGGACTCATGACTGTCATCACCATTGTCAATCTTGCAAAAGAATAGTGAAAGGACAATTTTTTTGGATCCAATGGTGTGGATATCTTCATATCACAATATAACAATTCCAGGAAATTGTGGACGCCCAGCATCAGACTTAAAACGAGTATATTTGTTTCAAATTAACAAAACAGTACTTCAATTTTTAGAAAGCAAATTATACAAATATATTCTCTAGTCCAGATTCTAGCCCACAACTCCAAACATCACTTCAACTTCTTGGTCTGATAATTGTCTCAGGTGTAGTACAAAGTATCATGTGTGTTCTGATATTATATTCCCTGATTTAGCAAGCTCTCATACGCGGTTCCTTCTGATGTTTTGTTTTAGCAACATATTGTATATTTTGAAAAAACTTCATATACATTCAGAGGTTAAGATATATTTTTTGGGTTCTCTGACTAGTTGAAAACTTTACTATCTGCTTCTATTACCTGGAAGCATCAGTATCACGACATATAGACACTAATATCAAGCTCATGCAATGCTGTGGGTATTATTTACCGAGGTATATCTGTTGCCAAATTGATAATATGATTTTTATATATAACTATTTATAAAAACTTCAACGATAAATTTTTTTACTACTATTTACAGAGTGAATTTTCGGACCAGCTAACAAGATAATATACTAATTACAAGGTTTTATCAGTTTTCTTTAATAGAATCAGAAAAGATTTATATTTGTGATGTCCAATAAAGGTTAAATTATCATCTGCAGGGAAAAAAAAGTAGATATGAATAGTGTTCCATTTTAGCGACATATTACACATTTTGAAAAAAAATTCATATACATTCAGAAGTTAAGATATATTTCTTGTATTTTCTGAGTAGTTGAATACTTAACTACCTGCTTCTATTTACCTGGAAGCATCAGTATCGCAACATATTAACATTAGCTGATTTTCAGTACCATTTAATATTGGAATATCCTCTTTTGCGTTCAGGCAGTGGACGCTCTGATGCAAGCATGTTCCCGGAGGTCGATAGCACGTGGAAGGTACCTAATCCTTTTCCCATAGAAGTTTGTTATATGACTTGATAATGTTCCCTTCCTTATTTATCTTGCTTATTTACTATTTAAGAGCTTAGCTTCTGGGCTTATTGAAAGAGTGGGGGAACACTTGTGGTGGAAAGGTTAACTTTTCTTTATTCAAAAGAATTTAGAGGCACAGAATCTACAGATATGTTTGTCTTCTTTAAGAGGTCCATGAGGACATGCTACACAGTGTAGACACATGACATAACAAGACCATACAGTTTGGTGAGATTTGGCCAAGTGAATTTGCTATAAAGTTTCTCCATCCCTTATCGCGTCATAGTGACACTGATGTTGTTGGAAGCAAACGCTAGTAAAAAGGTTAGCACATGTTAGCAAGTGATGGGTAATATGTCTTCCTTCAAGATAGTCTGCTAGCTTCATTGTGATATAAGCTTATATAGAATTGCTATATGCCTCGTTTAGTTGCAGGAGAGGAAAACAAATCTCAAATCATGTTGTGTTTTCCTTGCAGACTAGGTGCATTGCTTTATGTGCAATTAGAGCTTTTAAATATTCAATTAAATTTAGAAAGATATTTCTTTACCCTCTAACCTCTAGTTTTTTAGCTTATTTGTTTTAAATTGGTATCGTTTGTATACACTGTAGCATTCATGTGAAAAGGAATGGCTAAGTTATAAGTTTTTTGCTTTGGCGTTTCAGTGTTTTCACAAAATGCTACTTAGTAGTAATGTCAGAAATGACGTGTAAAAGGAACGGCACTACTGGCTATCAACATTGCGCAGCTAGATTCATGGAAACGCTTACACTACCATTAAGAAATAAGAAATATCGGCATGTTAATGTTATCAATCAGTAGTATATTGGGAGGGGAAAAAAAGAAAAAGAAAATAATGATAATGACTCGCATGTTATTAGTATCGAGGGTAAAATTGCATAATTGGATAGTTTTCCTGAACTGCTTAGAAAAAGAAATGGGTTTTTTGTCTAATGAAGGTTAACAGATCAATATGTAAAATGTGAATGAAGTAGAGGAAGGGGCACAAGATAGAATTGGCAAAACGTTGGGCTATTGGACATATTTCTCCTTCTCCACTTTTGATAGGAACACTCGAGGGATTAAACGGAAAAATGGCTGAATAGCATCCAGCACAGAAAATGGCTGTGGAGAATGCTTGGTTGGTGCAGTGAATTATCTTACTATGAACATTTTTTGACATAAGATAGTTATGGACAAATAGTTTTATGCTGACGAAGAAGGGGGGAGTAATTGTTTTTTCTTGCAAGGAAAACACAACAAATCTCAAATCATGTTGTGTTTTCCTTGCAGACTAGGTGCATTGCTTTATGTGCAATTAGAGCTTTTAAATATTCAATTAAATTTAGAAAGATATTTCTTTACCCTCTAGCCTCTAGTTTTTTAGCTTATTTGTTTTAAATTGGTATCGTTTGTATACACTGTAGCATTCATGTGAAAAGGAATGGCTAAGTTATAAGTTTTTTGCTTTGGCGTTTCAGTGTTTTCACAAAATGCTACTTAGTAGTAATGTCAGAAATGACGTGTAAAAGGAACGGCACTACTGGCTATCAACATCGTGCAGCTAGATTCATGGAAACGCTTACACTACCATTAAGAAATAAGAAATATCGGCATGTTAATGTTATCAATCAGTAGTCTAGTATATTGGGAGGGGAAAAAAAGAAAAGAAAAAAAAGAAAAAGAAAATAATGATAATGACTCGCATGTTATTAGTATCGAGGGTAAAATTGCATAATTGGATAGTTTTCCTGAACTGCTTAGAAAAAGAAATGGGTTTTTTGTCTAATGAAGGTTAACAGATCAATATGTAAAATGTGAATGAAGTAGAGGAAGGGGCACAAGATAGAATTGGCAAAACGTTGGGCTATTGGACATATTTCTCCTTCTCCACTTTTGATAGGAACACTTGAGGGATTAAACGGAAAAATGGCTGAATAGCATCCAGCACAGAAAATGGCTGTGGAGAATGCTTGGTTGGTGCAGTGAATTATCTTACTATGAACATTTTTTGACATAAGATAGTTATGGACAAATAGTTTTATGCTGACGAAGAAGGGGGGAGTAATTGTTTTTTCTTGCAAGGAAAACACAACAAATCTCAAATCATGTTGTGTTTTCCTTGCAGACTAGGTGCATTGCTTTATGTGCAATTAGAGCTTTTAAATATTCAATTAAATTTAGAAAGATATTTCTTTACCCTCTAGCCTCTAGTTTTTTAGCTTATTTGTTTTAAATTGGTATCGTTTGTATACACTGTAGCATTCATGTGAAAAGGAATGGCTAAGTTATAAGTTTTTTGCTTTGGCGTTTCAGTGTTTTCACAAAATGCTACTTAGTAGTAATGTCAGAAATGACGTGTAAAAGGAACGGCACTACTGGCTATCAACATCGTGCAGCTAGATTCATGGAAACGCTTACACTACCATTAAGAAATAAGAAATATCGGCATGTTAATGTTATCAATCAGTAGTATATTGGGAGGGGAAAAAAAGAAAAAGAAAATAATGATAATGACTCGCATGTTATTAGTATCGAGGGTAAAATTGCATAATTGGATAGTTTTCCTGAACTGCTTAGAAAAAGAAATGGGTTTTTTGTCTAATGAAGGTTAACAGATCAATATGTAAAATGTGAATGAAGTAGAGGAAGGGGCACAAGATAGAATTGGCAAAACGTTGGGCTATTGGACATATTTCTCCTTCTCCACTTTTGATAGGAACACTTGAGGGATTAAACGGAAAAATGGCTGAATAGCATCCAGCACAGAAAATGGCTGTGGAGAATGCTTGGTTGGTGCAGTGAATTATCTTACTATGAACATTTTTTGACATAGGATAGTTATGGACAAATATGAGGATCAGTTTTATGCTGACGAAGAAGGGGGGAGTAATTGTGTGCTGGGACATGCAAACTAGACATCAGTGCATTTGGTATAATGTAGTTTCAATCTTTTGTTACTGATATTGAGAAATATTCCTGTTTTACTGCTTATTTTTTTTCTCAGTATGTGTTGCAAGTCTGAAATTTGAAAGGGAATGCTTAATATTACAAATTCTCATGCTGCAGACCTTCAATGAGATCCAGAAGCTGCTAAGTAAAACCAATGGTAAAGTTATTGGAGAGCTGATGACTCCTGCCCCACTTGTTGTTCGTGAAACAACCAACCTCGAGGATGCTGCAAGGTTGTACAACATTTCGTAGCAATATTGCTGAAAAAATATCTTTTGAACTCTGTATCAAAAATCATATAGGGGATAAGGAGAACATGACATGCTTCCAAACACAAATCTTTTAAGTTTTGTTAGATGATAAAGTAAATCGGAACACGTCATAACCAAAAACTTTAGCTTGAATGGTTACTTCCATCAACTTTAAGGTTTGTGATGGGAGATACGTGTCAAGTCCTCCGAGATACGTGTCAAGTCCTCCTTCCTCTATATGACTCTTTATAGAGGATCCTCAACAGGGATTTCCTTTCCTCACTAGTTCCTATGCAAGCTGAAATTTAAAGCTTAACTCCAGTTACACTATTGCAGATTACTTCTTGAAACAAAATATCGCCGGCTTCCTGTGGTAGACAGCACGGGTAAATTGGTAGGAAAACTGAAACTTCCCTCTCCTTTGGAGTTTATAAACTTCATTTCCTCCCGTCTGATGTGTTTTCTCCCTTCTCCTCTGAAGGTCGGTATCATCACGAGGGGAAATGTAGTTAGAGCAGCACTTGCGATCAAGCGTGAGATTGAAAAGAGTTCCAAAGCATGAGTTTGGAAAACAATCACAGATGATTTTATCAGAGCAATTGCAGCTTTCCGCATCCAAGTATCAAATCATAACTTTGTATCTCGTGTATATGCCTATTTATATGTTCTTTATCTTATTTATGTATTTGAACTGAAGTTTTGATCAGGCCCCAAGTCATTTCTTGCGGTCGAAAAACCAAGCTTGTAATACTTGAGAAATGACGCCGTCTCATTGAGGCTTCATTTTTTTGACTACTTACTAACAGAAGGATGAAATACAACTAGTATTCATGACCTAGCCTGTAAGTGCCGGTATTTTAGCAAGATCTTTGTATTCAATGCAATATTCCACGATTTTGTTACTCGAAAATCTTTTTTATCACAGTATCGGTCAAGGATGATAACTGTGTTGCGAACTTCGCCCCAGTGTTTCTTGTACCCTTGTCCTGAAGTTAATAGGTATTAAATGACGAGGTGTTGGTTTATTTCTTTGCAGAGAACGATGACTCTTTTATCTGAGAGGAAAGTGACTGCACAATAACCCCAGGCATAATGCTCTGCCATGGCAAAAGTTTCTCATTTGAAGAGTTCTTCTTAGTAGCGTTGCATCTTTTTTCTGGTTTTTGAACCACCCATTTTGTTCTTGTGGGTCTCCAAGCATCAATCATTTTTTTTCCAAATACCAATTTCTATTTGAGGAATTTTTTTCAAATTGACGTAAAGTCCAAGGAAATAATGGGAATGATGACTACACTAGCCTCTGTGTTTTCAAAAAAGAGGGGCACTTGGATGCGTTTTATTGGGTGATAAAGGATCTTAGGCGATTAGGCCTTCACAATTTTTGTGTGTCTATGACATTTTTAGGGTCACGTTAAAAAGGAAAATAGTGACAACTAAGACATTATGTTAATTGTTAAAGCTGTAATGATTAACTCCGCGATGAGGTACTTCTTATTTGAGAATGTGATGACCCTGAGAAAGAAAACTTTACCAGCTGGGGTTATTTAATTACCTTGGACATCGCTTTCATAGGAGATTTGTTTTATGAGCTTTGCTACAGGGACCCAAAATATGGGACTAATAGAAGGGACAAGTGAGGTGTCCCCCTCCAATTGGATAATGAGTTGGCCATCATTCCCCCTCCTATTGGATAATGAGTTGACCATCATTAATGATGACCAACTCATTATCCAATAGGAGGGGGACACCTCACTTGTCCCCCTATTGGTCCCATATTTTTGGTCCTTGGAGAATTTTTCTTGTTTTATTATAAAGTCATTATTACTGTGGATATCCTCTTACCACTTAATTAAATGCTCTGCTTTCTATTATTTGTATCGATTGCTTTTTTTTTTCCTTTTTCCAAGATTTCTTTTGATAGACATGCATTGAGTGTTATGGAGCTCTCCACTTGAGACTTGAGGGTGGCAAAAAAACCCCTCAAGATGATAAAAGGTAGATAGCACTGCTAATTAGTATCATTTTTGATACTGCAATAAATGATCTTCATTTTTCCTTTTTTTCCAGTTTTTTCCCCTTTCCCTTTCCCTGGCATATATTTCTCAAATAAAAATTAGGTTGCTAGTAAAATGATTAGTTCTGTGCAAATAAATAAATCAACTATTTAGAGGGAAAAATAAAGGTCATCTCAAAATTCTAAGCTCGTTTTCCTTTTCTATTCTCCCATTTATTTTATTTTTTCGGTTTCCGCAAGCGATTAGGTGTCTAATTGCATGTATTCTTCCCTTAACGACTATCATGTTCCTTTTTATGACCCAATTTATCATCCGTCTTCCTATGCAACAATAATTTATGATATTTCTTATATGGTTTTTATACTTGCATTTAGGCATGACTAACTCCACCTGTTTTGTTTAAGGGTAGTGATTTAAAGAAGGCAGCTCATGGCCATCTCACTTCCTATTTTAGTAACCAAAATGCTCATCAACCATCATCAATAATATTTTAGAAAGCTGAAGGCCAGATTGATGTTATATCTATTTAGCTTAAGCTTCATTTAAATGTCATTATCTTCAACTAATAATTTCAACACCAAAGAGTCCAGCATTCTTTAATACTTTTAATCAGGTGATAATGATGTATAGCTATATTCCTTAGGATATCTTTTGCTTGCTGGCTCTGAGCGTCTATTCCTACCCTCTGGCAATATTTAAAGTGTTATGAGAAATTTCAAGGTCCCATAGGATTGTGTCCATTTAACAAATCTCACCCCTACATCATGCCTCGAAGAGAGAACCTCAATCATTATTTACCTACTCTATAAAAGAGGTTCCATCTTTGAGGCATGATGTAGGGGTGAGGTTTGGTCACCTCACTACCAAGTTCAATAAAAGAACTTGGTACCAAGGTTCTCCATATTTCTCATATATATATATATATACTCACACATATATTATCTATGAATGACTTGTATACAGATTAGATGGTCATGACATCAAAGGTATAGATTGAGGTGCGTTGGCTTAATAAAGTATTGAGTCTACAATTGCAAGGACCCTCTTTCAACCAAAAAATTATGAAGAGATAAAGTAGAGAACCTTCTATCTTAGGGACCACTGAGCATGTGAACAGTTTATTGGTGAAATAGTGTGATACAGGAATAATAATAATAATAATAATAGGAGTAAAAAATTTCATTTGTAATGAAATGGAAGGCATAGAAGTTTTGAAGATTGAAATTGGCGGTAGAACCTCCTGTTTTCTGATGATTCTGATTGAAGATCAAACAAAAAAATGATCATTTTTATTGAAAACTTGACCAAAAATTCAAAAGCATTATTTGGGGATTAAATCTAAAGTAATTCAAGAAGAAGGGAAAAAGGGGGGGAAATGTGTATATATTCAGAGTTAGGACGAGACTTATTTTTCACTTTGGTACCCGAAAATTTACCATGTTTTCACTTTGATATCCCAACATATTTGTTAACACTTTGATACCTTTCCCTAACTTAGATTTCATTAGATTTTCTATTAGATTTGTATTGCACTTAGGTCCACTTTACTTATTTAGTCGCCAGGCGCCGAAACAACCAAATGTTCCCAGTAGCAATGGACGCGTATTATGTTCCAAGGACGCGATATGAATTGGACAAAAAATAACGAAAATTGGACGGGAGCATCAAGTTGACAAAGGATTGAAACTTTGGGGGTATATTAATTAGAAAAATACTTTTGTGGCCTCAGTGTGAAAAAAAAAAGAGAGAGAGGATAGACTGTGGGGCTACCAAAGTGAAAAGAAGCCACAGGATAATCAAGACTACCATTAATGTAGGCGTTAGATCCTCTCTTTCCTAAAAGAGAAATCATCAGAAAGCCATAAAATGTGGACTTGTATGCGCACGCCACTAAAAAAAAAAAAAAAATCAGATTTTTTACTTGGTCATTGGACTCCATTAGAGCCTCTATATTTATGATCTTTTATTGCAGTATCAAAAATCTAGGGTTGTACTTCAATTTTTATGGTCCCTCCCTCCCTCCAACCATATATGGCTCTGAAATCTGAAAGCGACAGGACTACAAATAAAAATGGATAGTTAGGGTCATTAAATTATATTGAGAAAGGGATGGAAGTGAAAATTTTTACTTTTGGTTGAGTGAACACATGGGGAGTTGGAAGCAAGCAGATTATGCTCTGCTGTTTTGAGGAAGGAATCAAAAGAGTTCCTTAGTTTGGTGTTTGTAGTTTAAGTTTTTTTAGCTTTGCTACAGGGACCCAAAATATGGGACCAACATGGCGGACAGTTGAGGTGTCCCTTTCTATTGCATAATGAGCCGACCATCATTAATGATGGCCAACTCATTATGCAATAGTCGGAGGACACCTCACATGCCCCCCCTGTTGGTCCCATATTTTGGGTCATTGGGGAATTTTTCTTTTGTTATTACAGTCACAGCAACAGTTAGCAACTATTGATTGGTTGGGGCCAGAAGTTGATGTAGTTTGTGCTCAGAGAAAGAGTAGGTTGGGCTCTGTAGAATGCCTACTTGCTTGTTGTGATAGAGTAAGCCAAACTGCTCAAGACTGGTTGCTAATGAGTTTTTTTATAAGAAACTTCCTTTGCTTTTATTAGCACGGTTGTTTTGAGGTCTAATTTATTATTTTAATTCGACGGAGTAGAGAGGCGTAAAAATTCGACGAGTAAAAACTAATTTCTTTGTGGAAATAAAATGAAGGACACCTTAAAATGAAACGTGATCGAGGAAGAGACCAGAATCAGTCCCGAAAGCGGCATTTACGCGTCCACGTCAAAAGAGCATAGCATAAAAATACGATAAAGGGCCCTCTTTAACTTTTTTTTTATGGGGAAGAAACAAATGCACAGTTCATAATTAATTTTGAATTGATGTTTATCAGTACACAAAATCAGTGCAAACACACACACAGAATGTTTTCGTTACGGGGCTGTTTGGTTGTTGTTGGTAAAATTATGTATTTATGACACAACTTTAAAAGTTGTTGTCCACCTCATCAATTTTACTTTTATACTTTTCTTTGTTTGTTTTTGATTCCATTGGAATCATAAATTGCTTGTTTGGTTAATAAATGTAACTTTAATTGTTTGTTTGGAAAGTGTAAAAAGTGTAAAAAGTGGTCTCTACTCAAATGATCATATTGGTTGGAATTATTTTTTATTATTTTTTCCTGACTTCAATGTCAGCTTTCTCCTAAAATCATATTTTTCTTTTATGAAATCACTTTACAAGCCACATCAGCATATGAAATCGCTTTACACTATTTTCACAACTACAAACAAACAATTGAAAGTGATGAAAGTGGGACCCACTTTTTTACATTTTCCATCATTTTACATGGTAAAAACATACAACCAAACAGCCCCTACCTATCTAGCTACTGAATCGATACAGTCAGTCAGTTCAATTGTCGTCGATTATTAAAATTGATAGTAGAACACATGTCGCATTATTATTTGTTCTGCCCATACCATCTTATAATTCAACATGAAAATATGTTAGGGACTCGATCCACCGGGGGACGTAGCGTGCCAAGGGAGCGAAGCTCTTTGACGGCGGCTTCTCTATAGATTTGGTTGCTATCTTTTTTTACTATCACCTTCTAAGCAATGGATCGTGTTTCATTAAACAGTTTTCTCTAATTGACGTGGGGTATTTTTTTTTTTTTTGAAAACTAATCTAACGGGACGATCCATAACATAACATTCAATCTGTACTTAAAAAGTAACAATTCTTAAAATATTTTTAAGAATTCTCGAAATTTAATAATCTAAGAGCTCACATTCATTTCACGCTCATTACTTACTATCATGAATCCGGATGCACTTGATACTTTTTCAAAATGTACGTG